GACTGGGGGCCGTGGCAGGAGAGGCTGGGCAGGGGCACGGAGAATGGGCCGAGACCCAACCCTGTGCCCACCACAGCCTCGCAGCCCACAGTTCTTTCAAGGTTCACGAATTTGTGCACTGGGCCCCTAGTAGTAATATAATTCAAATAATCATCCAAGAACCCTCAACCCCTATGCCACTCCATGCACAAAATTAATTTGAGGTGGACCATAGACCTATATGTAATCTTAGAGCCAAAAATCTTCTAATAGAAAGTTTTGGAGTAAATAAATATTTCTTGAAAAGACACAAACAGTGGTAACTATAAAAACCATTGATAAGCTGACTTCATCAAAATTAAAAATTAATTTTTCTCATCACACCATTAAAATAATGAACAGACAAACCACAGATTGGGAAAAAATATTCACAACATATATATCTGAAAAACAATGTGTGTATTGAATATTTTAAAAAGTCCTACAAATTAGCAGTGAAAGGTGAACAATCTAATTTTTTTAAATGGACAAAAAAATTGAACAGACATCTTACAAAATAAGTTATCCAGAGTGTCAATAAGTGCTCAAAGGCTCATGGGATTATGAGCTTGTAAGGAAGTTGCATACAAAAGAATTGTACTCAGTAGTAAGAATAAGCAACTACAGATCCATGCAACAATGTAGGTGAATCTCAAAAACATTATGCTGAGTGGAAGAAGCCAGATTCAAAAATCTGCATACACTCTGGTTCTATTTATATGAAGTCAGAGAATAGGAAAAAAATAATGTCTGATGGTAGAATTAGGGGTTGCCTAGGGATGGGAGGATAAATTGAGTAGAAAGGCGCATTAGAGAACTTTTTGATTCTGACAGCTGTGTCTTATATTTTGTTTTCAGTGTTGGTTGCACAAGTATTTGCAATTGTGAGTACTCATTTTATGGAACACCTAAGGTCTTTGTTTTTATTGTATGTCCTTTTTACTTCACTTTTGAAAATGACACATACAAAAGTAGTGATTTTCTCATCAGAATTCTTCTAGTGATGAAAGAGTAGAAATCCAGATTGAATAGATATATTTTCTTCCCTTGGAACTTCATGAGGTATTTGCTTCCCTTGGGACTTCATGAGATTATTTGGGTTTTATTTATGGACAGGCAAAATTGACACTGAACATTTAAAATTTTTCTTAAATGGTCCGCTTTATAAAGCTCTCACCTGTACTGTGGCTTATCTTCACAGAGAGAAGGAGGAGTGTCTCTCTCCAAAGGCTCATGGGATTGTGAGTTTGTAAGGAAGTTGCTGTAGCTGATGCACACTGTGTGATTGAGCACCTGTGGGCAGGTGCTGACAGGCACTCAAGGCCTACTCATTGAGTGAATGAATTGGCAAAAGATGAGGTATTTGGGGGACTGAATGAATATTATAAAATATATTGAGAAGTTCATGTTTCACATAGGCAACAGATATCGTGGAAGTTTTAAAGCAGGAAAGTGATTTTCCTTCCCTCAAGTTGACTAGCTTTGTGGAGAGTAAGCTAAAATTTGGAGACACTGGTGGCAGGGATATTATTGTTTGAATGTGGTATTTCTGTAATAGATTCTAATATTTTACCAGAGTTTGATGCATAATTACAAAATGGGGTTCAGACCTTTGTCTCTTGAAATGTACCATGAGGCTCATCTTTCACTTGCTAATTTGATGCTTTTGTACCTGATTAGTATTATATAATTACTAGTGGCCCAGTGCATGAAATTTGTGCACGGGGGGTATCCCTCAGCCTGGCCTGCACCCTCTCCAATCTGGGATATCCCCCTCTCAATCCAGGAACTCTGGCTCCTAACCACTCACATGCCTACCTGCCTGATCGCCCCTAACCACTCTGCCTTCCAGGCTTCTTGCCCCCAACTGCCCCTCCTGCCAGCCTGCTTGCCCCCAACTGCCCTCCCCTCCTGGCCTGATCGCCCATAACCGCCTCTGCCTCGGCCCCGCCACCGCTTTGTCCACCAGAAGGGCATCCAGAAGGTCTCCCGGTCTAATTAGCATATTACCCTTTTATTAGTATAGATAGAGGCCTGGTGCACGGGTGGGGGCCAGCTGGTCTACCCTGAAGGGGGTTCTGGATCAGGGTGGGGGTCCCCTTGGGGGATGGGGCCAGCCTGGGTGAGGGGCCTGGGGCAGTTTGCAGGCCGGCCATGCCCCCATCTGGGTGGGGGTCCCCGCCTTGGGGTGTGGCCAGCCTGGGTGAGGGACTGAGAGCCATTTTCAGGCCGGCCATGCCCCCAGCTTTGTCCAGAAGGATGTCTGGAAGGTCTCTGGAAGGTCTCCCGGTCTAATTAGCATATTACTCTTTTATTAGTATAGATTAGTCTTTTAGGCATTACAAATGACCTTTTCATAAGGTTTTAAAGTTTGAAATATTAACTTGTGGTATTTCATTGTGAAATATTTTGCTTCATCCCTCCCCCCTATTTGAAATAGAAAAGCTGTCAACTAATGTTCTGTGTATCTTCTGAAATTTTGCATTGACATTGTAAGACATTTAAAAAAAATCATAAATATCCTTCATAGTGAATTTGTAGACAATTGAAAAGTGAAGAGAAAAACCTCAAAAATTGGAGAAGAAAGCCACATTTTTTCTTTTAGGGAATTATTGCTTTTGGAAATATATTTTAAAGTTTTAGCAAACACCTTTTCAGAAAATGATTTATTTAAACAAAATTACTAGGCCAAGGTAAGGCTTATACCAGTAACATAGCAACTGTAGGTACACACGTAATTTTATGAGAAAGATGGCAAGCAAAATGTCTTGAGCTTGAAAGGAATGCCTTGCCAATTCAATAATGTAAAATATCTCACATGAAGGAAAACCACTGGTTACGATGGTGATTTCTTATAACATTTTAATTTAACAATATGATTTTGTCATTCATGTTAAAAAAAAAGAACTTTAGGAATTGTTAAAAGATCATACCAGTCACTTAGTTGTTATGTACATAACATTTTTAAAAAAGGAAACATTTTTTAAAAAAGGAAAAAAATGATGGAAACAGATGACTGTATTATTTGACTGAAGACTTACTCATACACAATTTAAAAGGAACCAAAGGTGATGGAGTGAAAACATGTGGTTTGGCACTTGAGTGTCATAAAGCAAAGTTAATATACTTTATTCAGTAAAGCTTTTTGAAAACTGAACTAATTCTCAGGAAGTTAAATACTTTTTTATTATTGTTGCTCAAGGTAATTAATTCTGTAATAGTAAGAATCCTATTTCATTTTGTGATTACTTAGTGAAATGACATGCACTACTTTTCTTTTAAAAATAAGTACGTTGTAGGGGCCATTCATTAAGTTGCATTGGTTCAATCCCAAGGTCCCAAACCATAAAAAATTAAATATCTCCTATTTTGACTTTTCTTAATATGACACATTTAACATCTACTTTGTGTATACTTAAGTATATGCTACTTCTTCTAAGTAAATTCCACTAATTTTAAATTCCACTGATTTTAAATTAGTGTGTTATTATTAAGCACTGTATAAAACTAACAGTGCATGAATATGTAGCCTGGTGTTAGGTAGTTTGTGATTTTGAAGGTATAGGAGTAGTGTCTGTTCTTTTTTATTTTTTAATTAAATTTATTGGGTTTTCATTGGTTCATATGATCATACAGGTTTCAGGTATAGGTTTCTATGTTACAAGAGCTGTATTTGCACTGTGTGCTCACCACCCAATGTCAAATCTTTTCCTGTCACCATATGTTCGGACCCTCTTCACCCTCATCCCCTTTCCTTGGGCAACCACCACACTGCTGTTTGTGTCCATGAGTTTCCGATTTATATCCCACATATTCTGATCTGATGCAAGATAATCTTTCTGATCTTGTTTTGTTAATCCTTACACAAGGATTTTTCCATTGATTTATAGAGAGAGTGGAAGAGAGGGGGAGAGACAGAGAGAGAGAAACATCTATGTGAGAGAGAAACATCAATGTGAGAGAGAGACACATCGATTGGTTATCTCCCACATGTGCCTCAACCAGGGCTGGGGATCCAGCTTGCAACCAAGGTACATGCCCTTGCCCAGAATTGAACCCTGGACCCTTCAGTCTGCATGCTGATGCTGTAGCCACTGAGCCAAACCGGCTAGGGCTGATCTTGTCTTACTTAACACTGCTGTTCTTAGGGTGTAGCACAGAGCGGGTACCCAGTCAGACTGGTTTGCTCCGGACTAAGGGGTTTCCCCAGGTCATGAGACTTGCAGTGCTCAAACTCAGTGTGTCCCAGGGAAGCCAGACAGTTTGGTCACTCTATGTCCTCAAGATCCTTTCAGGGGTTCTGTGAGTTCAAAATTATTTTCATAGTAATACTAAGACAGTTTTTGTTTCTTTCACTCTCATTCTCACTCAAGTATACAGTGGAGTTTCCAGAGGCTACCAGAGGTATATTACAACAGATTGAATTCAGAAGCAGGTAGGAGAATCCAGCTGTCTTCTATTAAGTCAGACATAAAAAGATTTGCAAAAATGTAAAGCAATGCCAATCTTCTCACTGAATTTTCTTTGTTTTGAAAAGATCATAGTTTTCATAAACTATATTAATTTTACTAATTTATTTTTAAATAAATTAATAAATGTAATGTAGATATTTATTTTAATTTGTAATAAGTACCACAAAACCTACATAAACAAAGGTTTCTTGGGGATCCTCAATACTCTTAAATAGTGTAAAAGGGTTCTAAGACCAAAAAGTTTGAGAAACACTGAGTTAGAATTTTTCTATATGAAAGAAGGAACTTTTACTTGTGAGGAGTATTATACCCTGAGCCTTTTAGAAGGCTGTGTTTATGGGAATTTTCATATCTCTCTTAGCACCTCTGTGTTTAGCTGTGCGGCTTCCCCATGCCCTACTTTTCATACATGCAAAGGAGGGTGCTGTCAGTTAACTCTGGCTTAACCTCATTCTAAATCACAATAGCTAAAACTTAAAAGGAGCAACCCCCGCCCCCCAAACATTCATGATAACTCAAAAGGATGAAACAGTTCCATCAAACTAAACAACCATCCTATTTAATGGAAAGAATCTTATAAGTAGTAAGGGTACTTTTGTTTCCTCAAAACTGGCTGTATTTTGCCATTACTACTATTAGCATATTATCTATTGTTAATATTAATGAATATAAATATACCACAGGACTTCACCTAGCAGTGTGAGACCAGAGAGAATTCCTGTCTTCTTCACTTTATGGGTCTGAATTATTGTTAGTACTGACAGAGTCAAAGCCACATGGTTCTGGGAGAATTCATCCTAGTATTGCTTCTGTGGCGATGGCTCCTGGAGGACTGGTTCATAGGGACCGACATGGAGACCTGGCAGAGGGCTTTGGAGCAATTGAATATTGTTGACCACACAACCCTAGTGGAATGTGTTCTGTGTTAGTTTTTCAACCTAAACACTTTCTGGATAAATTATGGTAGACATTGGATTATGATTATGGCCACAAAATCTTTAATATGAACTAAGGGGGATAAAGATCCATAGGCAGCAAACTAGTGATCTGATAATCTTTGTGTTGAAATGAATTAGCACAGAGCTTTTTTGAAAAAGTCAATTACTTTGAGAATATTTTAGAAAGTTGTTTGACAAATCTTTAATGTCAGATGGTTCTGGTGGTGCAATGGCATTTTACTATTTACTAAACATTAGACCTCAGTATCTTTTCATGGCAGTAAAAATGCATCAAGACTCTAATTTTAATGTGGCTATGCCATGATTTATTTGTTTAATCTCTATTTGTTGTTTCCACTTGGCATGTATACATTTAAATTTCTAGAAATGGAAACGCAGAATCAAAAGATACATGCATTTTTAAGAATTTTGATGCACATTGTTAAATTACCCCCCTGAAAGGTGGTGACAATTTATAATTCCATAGGAATGTTTGAAAATATTGTTTCTCCATAATTTTGAAGACCTGGGATTATCCTTCTTTTAAATCTTTGCCAATAATAAGGACATTAATAGGGACAACCTAACCCTGCTTATCATCAGACCCTACCTCAGACTATTTGATTTAGTCAATCTACCTCGGAGCTCCAGAATTTCTATTATAGAGCTGAGATCTTCTACTCTAAGAATAGAAAAAACATTGTCCCAGGAGTTGAAAGATAGGGGTTCAAGTCCTAGTTTTGCCACTCACTCTATGGTCATGGCATGCTATTTAACATCCTTGAATCCTGGCTTTTAAATAGCATAAGATGGTTTTAGAGATTGGATGAGCAAATGAATGTGTAATGGACTACTGTGTTATCACATTGTTTTTGTGATCCTTGAGCCTGGGATTGAACCAAGTATAAACTGACATTGTTATCACTGTTACAGTACCATAGAGTTGGACCAGGAAGACTCAAGTGCATAATGAACTTCTCTTGGGGGTCAGAGGCCCCATTTTGTTTGCAGCATGTGGTTCTCAGGATGCAGACCAGGATCTCTCTCTCTCTCTCTCTTCTGTTCTCAAGGGTCCATTTAAAGATCAGCATGTGCTCAAGTTTGAAGTCAGTGGTTTGCCTCTTGTATTTGATAGTTAGTATATATGACCGGCTATTGGACAGCTACTCTTAATGAGATCAGTTTCACTAGTCTAGTTCAGCAATTTTCAACCGGTGTGCTGTAAGAATTTTTAAAACATGTAGTACCTGACTATTAAGTCAGGAGCACTGACCTCTTTTCCCTTAGATTGTCAAGTAAAAAAATGACAACTGCCAACACAACAATAACTATCTGGTGTGAATAAATCAAAATTATACCAATTTTTTTTGCCAGATTGAGAGCAAATATATCTTTAGGTGTGCCACAGAATTTTGGTAATTATTTTATGTGTGGCATGAGATGAAAAATGTTGAAAATCACTGGTTTAGTGGATTGATGTGCTAGATAGTAATAGGAAGCAAGAGAGGTCAGCCCATCTATAAAAGACATGCTTTGTTGTTGAAAACAATTTTTTTTCCTAGTTCTAGCTCACATACTTGTGATATACATCTACAATTTATAAAGAACAGAATAATTAATAAACTGCTGTACTTAACAGAAAGCACACCTTGTTGCTCTTTAGAGAATTTTTAAGAAACAACTATGCATGCTTGGAAAACCATTTAAATTATTTAGCTAAGATTATGACGTTAAGAGACATAATTTAGTAACAGCGCATAACTTTAATACATTTTGTTCTAAAAATACCATGTTTGTGTGACATTACATTTTCATACAGCAAAGGTATGGAAAGAAAGATTCAGGAAGATCAAAGTGTGGGAAACACACTGGACTCTGTGCCTAACAGCTGTAGCTGTTAAAAATAACACATGCTTTAGCCGCATACTTAATGTGCAAACCAACCCATCAAGGCTTGGTTTGAAGCAAGTCAGTTTTTTTTGACAAATACGCCTTCTCCTTTTCTTAGAATGGTACCTATTAGCTAATGTTGCATCTCAGAACATTGGAAGAAACTCAAGATAAGTGTTGTGGAGCAAGGGTAAATTTAGAGGGAAACATAGGGAACTAGAAAAAGCCCTTATCCAGGGAGCTTGATCGTGGACATTTGCCGCTACTGAACTTCTAGCTGGAGAGATGCTTTATTTTAATGTGACTTGCAGGCAGGGTGTGGCTTTTGATCAGGAGCTGACATTAATGATCAGGGTCAGCTGTGGTTAAAGCTTGTTTTTTCCATCATAAGAGGATCATCAGGGGAAAAAGTCAGCATATTTCAATACTGTAAACTGTTTTGGGCTGGTTCAGCCATTTGGCAGCCCTATAAACGGAGTAGGGTTTCATTGAAAGAATGAGAACTGAGAAATATATGTTCTTCGCCTTCCAGCTGAGGTGGATGCTGTTCCAATGTAGAACTAGCTTCTGAGCGCTAATTTTAAGAATTGGATCTTGTTACTTTTTTTCCTGAAAATATTATAAACATCATAAATACGTATTCTAAAATATGATAAACGTTTGGCATTATAGATATATTTTGGGGGGTGAGCTAAATGTAATGATTATGTAGAAAAAATAAAAGGGAAAAAGGCCACTTATCAACTCCATATTGGTTATTGGTAATTGGTACCATCAGTATAAAGTGAGGATGGGTTCAAGGTGATTTTTAAGATCACTCTCAGTTCTAATGTTCTGTATATTATTAGTTCTTTTTAATTCCTAAGTATTATACTTTTTATTCAGATGTTTAATGAGATAGAGTGGTATTTCTGTCAGGATCCTGGTAGGGAGCAGTGGCATTCTTTGAAAAGTTTAACTAAGAAGAGTTTCATGAAGGGACTCTTTAAAGAGGCATGGCCAGGGTAAGAGAACCGAGATGGGATGGTGAGGCACCTGGAGCCTTTTAAAAGCAACATGTTATTGTCTCTAGACCTCAAGGTCTTAAATGGAAACAATGCTCGGGCCACTGAAGAGGGTACCTGAGGGAGGTAGACACCACCACTGTCAGATCTGTGGTGTGGTGGGGAGAGAAAATACCTATCCTCTCTCTTCTCCAATCCTCTGACATGGAGGATGCTGTGGGAAGATTTTATGGATCAGGCTAAGAAGTGGAATATATCACTTAGGCTCACCTCCTGTTGGCTAGTGCCTGGACATACCTAATTGTAGAGGATGGTGGGAAATGTAGTTCTTCTGTGTGCCTAGAAAGAAGAGGACAGTATCAGCATTGGTGATTACCAGCAGAAGAATCAAGAATGACTCCCAATTTTCTGCCCAGAGCACCTGGTGGATTGTTTGGCTTTCTTGTCTTCTGTTGGTAACTTTATCCATAATAACTGCTAGCTTTTCCTCTCATTTCTGCTTTCTCTTCACAGGCTCCTTCTTGGTTATAATCAGCATATACAGTTCTTACACAACTCTCCCATTTCACCTTCCCCAAATTCCTCTTTTCATTTACCCTGCTTTATTTTATTTTCTTCATAGTACTTATCACTATATGAAAGCATATTTAATTGTTTACTGTCCTCATTGGTATTTTAATCTTTAAAGGTCAGTGACTTTTCCATATTCCTTACTATATATTTGTTCTTTTAACAGTGAATGACCCACAGTAGGTTCTCAAAATTTGTGTTTAGAGGAAGTATCACAGGATTCCATGAACCATCTTAACCATTGTACCATTATTCTTTCTTCCTATTCTTATATATGCCCACTGGGTGTTCTCTCTATTGCATCACTTCTGTTTCTCTCCTTACAGCTTTTCCTTTGCTTTCTCTAGTTTGATTTATATTTTGCCTTACAGATTTTCTAGTTAGTCTAATGAAAGAGGTTTCACTGGTGGGACCAGAAGCCATCCTAACTTCTTAACAGTCCATATTCCATTTTTAACTTCCTTTATATATTGTCAGGTTTCCATCTAATGGTTGCTATTTATTTGTTGCCACTGCCTTCTAAGTTCCTTTACTATTGTCCCCATTCAATTTCTGTTACAA